TTGGCGCGATTAAATATACATACATCGACTGACAAATAGGAATTGCCTTAAATAAATGTACATATCTACTGACAAATAGGAATTGGCGCAATTAAATGTACATGATTTTGGTCAGGGTTTGGTTGGGGCAGGAAATCAATAAAAAATGCGTTTTAAATTGAAGCGTCGATAGAAACCAGGGTTTTTCAAAGTTTTTATTGAAAAAGAATTTTATTATAACCGAGTATGACAAAGATGGCTAATATTAGCGTTTTTAATGTGGATTTTTATACTTTAACATCAGTTTAGAGTACTTTCCTCAAGTTTTCAGACCTATGTTTTTATATGATTTAGAATCAGTATAATATACTCTATAAAAATCAATCATAAAAACAGGGGGGGGGGGGGGGAGAAAGTCGAGTAGCGCTAAATTTGTTTATGTTCATTAAAAATAATGAATTGTGTTTATTGCTGTTTTACGAGTTATTTATCATTAAAGAAGTAAAACGATTTAAACGCTTTAAAAAATGTTAGATTTCCCAAATACAAAGAGAAGAAAACACGTTGGATAGAATGTTTACCTAATGCGAGTTTTAAAACGTCTAGCAACACTTCATGTTGGCATCGTCCAAAAGGTTGAATTAAAATAACATTTTGCACAATTTTTCTCTAAGATAGATTTTCAGTTTATTCTGAAATTGCAAGGAACTTTCTACTACTTTTTCTTACTAGGAACTATTATTCTCTGTGACAAGGTCTATGTTTCAAAAATGTTATTGTATTAGGAAGTTGCTGTTTTTAGAAAACCAATGATATGTATTCTCTTTCAAAAAGTTTAGATATTTTGATAACTTGTAATACAAGTTGTATGTTTGATGGTCCTAAATTTCTTTTGAAAATGTTGGGAAAATCTGTAAACAAATAAACTCCTAAATTTTATGTTATCAAATTCATTTAACTTTAGAATCAGTAAGAAAGTCAAATAGCAAAGCAAAGCCAATTATATGTGATGAAAATCTAACCCTAATATTTTATGAAAAACCTTGGTTAACTACAGATAGAATTCTTTTATTCTTTGACTTTTATCCACGTTATCTAAAAATATGAAATAATGGACTCTTTTTAATACTTACAATTTAGCTACCCTGAAACTTCGACTCTCAAACTTTAAATATAACTTGCTGAAAATATTAGTATTAACGTATCGTGTCTCCTAATTTTATGTAGACTGGTTGGTCAATAGTCTCCTACCTGTACTAATTGAGTTAAAAACATTCTAAAAAGTGTTAAAAAAAAGTTAAAAGGCAATGAAGTACCTTCTTTAAACCTCCTCAGGGTTCCAATACATTCCAGCTATTCAATTGGAAAATGAAGTGTCATTTCGTCCAATGATTTTAAAACTTTGGCACAGATAGGTCCATCAAAACCACCACCATTATAGCCATGCCTGATAACCATTTTCTTTTCAAGAAATTCCTTCAGATTTTTAGATGAAGATCAATAATTTTACTAACATGGTGTTCATAGATATGATATTCAGGTGGTGGAATTATTTTTATAATATTGCATCTGTATACAAGTTTTGTTGTCAAATTGGTATTTTTTGAACTTATCTGCTAGTGATCCAAAAGTCCAAAAGTAACACTAGTATTCTCCACCGTGATCTTTTATTATAGAAAATAACTTAGCTGACATTTTATCACATAAAACCTATTCAAGTAGCGTGACCTGTTCGTAATTTCAACATAAGTGTTCTCTTGTATTCCAGATCATCCATCTTTTCTTATCTCCTTCATTATTCCTAACACTGCACAATTTGGGAGATTGTGGTTTATCTTCACTTTTTATATGCCTTATAGGTGATTTGTCTCTGTATACTTGAACAGGAAGAGCTTTTCCTGCTGTTGCAAGTTTTATTTTTTACTATCACCAAAAACAGATATTTCTTTTAGTGTACAAGAAACAACTCTGTCAGCGATATTTTGATTCTTTGAAGTAATTAAGGCGTGAAGATTTTGAACAGTTTTTTTTTTTTGTTGCAAGGATGACGAATACCAGGACCAACAATTTGACAGCATTCTGAGCATAATGAATTTCTTTTTTCGAATGTAATCTTTTCAGATTCTACGTAGGTGAATTCAGAAAGATTAAGTGTATTACCACTTTTAGTACACTGCCCTAGGCAGCAAATAGCACAATTGCAGTTGCCATCTTTTTGTTTAATTCTTCCCAACTTTTTAACTTGATCACAACCATTTATCCAAGAAGTCTCCACAGCTTTACTGATTGTTTTACCTTTCTGTTTTAATTATAAGTTTGTCTTGCAGCTTCCACATATTCCAGACAGATGAGAACTTAGGTTTAGACTTAATCCAGGGTCCACAAAGTCTTTGATCAGATGAATCAATAAATCATTCTTCTCCAAAGATAGGCTTTTTTAATCAAGTTGAAGAAAACAGTGTTTTCTTCAACTTGATTAAGATAAAGTTTGTTTGACTATCATATTCAATACTTTTATGCTTTACTGCACTTTAATAAAATTAAGTGTTATTACAATATACTTTCCTATAATAATTTATCAAAAACCTTTTACATCAAAATCAAACAAAGAACTGTTGTTTTAAACAAAGAACCATCGTATTAAGTTTATCTTGTTAAGTTTTTTTATCATTATTTGCAGAGATTTGTTAATTGTATTATTGTTAATTGTAATATGCCTGAAGTTTTCTGTTTTTAGATTTTAAAAGCATTCCTTATTTATTAAAAAAAATTTATTGAAAAAGTTTAGTTACATTAGTTTTATTTTTTATTTGATTTGAAACTTGTTTCTTTTTTTCATTATTTTGACTAAACTTGTTTCTTTTTTTTCGTTATTTAACAAAAAGTTAATTGTAATGAAGTAATGAAGTTTATTATTAAAAATATGTAAAAAAAATTTGTATAAAAAATAAATAATAAAGTTTCTTTTTTTCATTATTTGAAAAAAATTTAATTACAATAAAGTTTATTATAAAAATATGAAAATATTTATTAATTATTTTTGTAAATTTATATAAATCATTACAGTGTCTATTTTAGTTTTCAGATATTTTATAAAGAAGCATGTTTACTCATTCATTTATTTAACTCATTTAAAAATTACAAATTTATTTATAGTTTTACAAATCAGATTAGTTGTCACTCATATAGTTAAAAACTAGTCAAAGGAGTGTCACCTAAATAAAATAAACAAAAAATAAAATCAACAACAACAATATGATTAAATAAAAAAAAACATAAACTAACATAATTTTAAAAAAAAAATGATGAAAATATAAAATACACCTAATAATCTTAATAATACAGTTGAAATAATATGTGCTTATAATATGTAATAACACAATATATAATAACAATCATAGAGCTTACATAACATCAACAGTATTATAATAGAAAATAATGATAATAATAATAGTAATAATAATAATAATAATAATAGTAACAAAAACAATTATAATATTAACAATTAAAATGAA